GTATTTAGAAAAAAGGAGTTTTATTATTATTATTCACAATTTATTTTAATTAAAATAATTGAATAGATAAAAAAAACTATTTTACGCATATAATTAAAATTTAAAAAACACAATCTAAGAATTGGAAATATGTGGCTCCCGCCAAAGTTCCGGACTGACTGACAACACGTCCTTACGGATCCATCAGATCCAATAACCTTTGCATTAAGCGCCTTCAACTCTAACACTAGGAGCAGTCTTACGGACCCCGGTAACCGTACTCGTCGAACTCGACAAAGAGGTCGACGTGCAACCTAACCCATATATGAGTCCGCTGAGTTTCTCGCCGGATCTTATCAGCGGGTCGCGATTCCGATCCGGTAGTAGATTCATTCGCGAAGCAGTTGCTCTTGACTGAGCCTTTGCTCGCCCACCTGTCCTGGTGAAACTGGAAAGGCCTATACGACCCCAGCAATCACTCATAAAAATCATCATAAAAAAAACTGACTGACACGGGTAAGTCAACTTATAGCCATCAATAAAGTGCAGACTTGCAATCCTCACGACCTCCTCGTGCAAACTAGCGGTGTAAGTAGCACTACAAGAGGTACTGCGACGCTGCACTGGTCTGATGAGGAACTTGTCCCCGAAGTACGCGATGTCCCGCGCTGTCTGTCACGTGTGATCGTGCCGTGAGTGTCCGTGAGCACTACTGTTAAAAGTCTCTGTGTTGGTCTCATTAGTAATGTTATTTTATTTAGAAGAAGTTCGAGCACATTGTGCATAAAGAAAGTTAATTTGATTATAAAATGAGGGACATTTTTGTGAAACATTTTGAAGTTTTCTATAGTGTTTAAATATGTAACTATTTTAGTCTAAAATATGCAGGAAACTTTCTAATTGAGACATTTCTATAAACAAGCCTTTTTTCCAACAAAAATTTTTCTAGTTTAGAATACATTTTTTCATTTCATTGCATAGATGGTTGAACGAGCTTACGGTCCATTTGATATTAAGTAGCTCCTGGTGTCCATAAATATCATAGGGTGAATATCGCCACTTATTTTTTCCTGGTGGTAGGACCTCTTGTGAGTCCGCGCGGGTAGGTACCACCAACCCGCCTATTTCTGCCGTGATGCAGTAATGCGTTTCGGTTTGAAGGGTGGAGCAGCCGTTGTAACTATACTGAGACCTTAGAACTCATGTCTCAAGGTGGTTTACGTTGTAGATGTCTATGGGCTCCAGTAACCACTTAACACCAGGTGGGCTGTGAGCTCGTCCACCAATCTAAGCAATAAGTAAATAAATAAATGCGGTTGCGCCCTAATTTTGTTGCGTAGTCCGCGTTCGAAGTGTAATTACGGCGTGCAATTAAAGAAAGCCGACTATTTGGAATTAACTATGAGTTAAATGCTAATTATTCTCAATACAATTCAAGATGATATTGTGATTAGGCGTTCAATTAGCGGAGAGCTGAGCAGTAAACCGGAGGCGACCGTTACTTCGGCTCCGGTGAAGCGAGGACCGCCGCCCCACCCCCCACCTCCCTCCAGGGACCACCGCATACTTCAGTAATTCCCAAGTTGTAAATGTCTATAGGCTCCAGTAACCACATAACACCAGGTAGGCTGTGAGCTCGTCCACCCATCTAAGCAATAAAAAAATTAAATAAAAAAAAAAACACAAATAATTTTTTAAACAATAATAAAATTTAAATTTCAACAGCCACGAACTCGATATAGATTTCGAAGTTTAAAAAAAACAGTATTTACGAGTTCCTGTCGCCGACGCACAAGTACATACTTAATTAGAAAGTTACGCTGCTTTTACTTCACCGATACTCAGTGTTTATGAGCGCGCTCTGCCGCACGCCGCCGCGGCGCCGGCCGGTACCCTATAAAACCTTCGTAATTTAATGTACTTCTGACGTTTGATGTTTTCCTGGTGCTCAATCTAAATACGTTAGCATCAAGCATAGGTGCAAGCGCATTATACCAGACACCTCCCCGGAAACTTCCCTGACGGTCAACAGTAACTACACAAAGCTTGAACTCAGTCGTACAAACGGACGCTCAATTGTAATTTTGTACGTATTTTAGAAAATTTCGATTGCATTGTACTGATCCACTGAAACCGATCAGCGTAGTGTACTGGACGCCACGCGCCACCACACGCCACCACGCGCCACCACACGCTGCGATACTATCGTATTCAGATTCACACTCAAATGTGAAGTTCATTAAAACGTTGAATGTGTTCGCGACCGCCAGTAGGTATATAGCAGTGGCGGCACAATAAAATCATATTGCTGCTATAAAAAATAACGTGATAGCTGGTGGATAATTGGTGAAATATGAGTACCGTAATAAAAAGCGCAAGAACGACACCTCCTCCCCTCCGAGCCCCAGACCGCGGCGCCCAGGCCCCCCCCCCCCTGGGCGCTGCGGTCTGGAACGGTCATAACTAGCTCCAGTACTAGTTCCGGACAGCTTCTTCCGGACATCCTTTTAGAATATTTGAGTGAGCATGTATACATTAAATGTAGACCCACATTGAATTAATAACAAAGGTACAAGGCTAGAAGCTGTTCCCTCTGTAGGCGCCGCGCTGTGCAGTATTAGCTGCAGGGGTGCCGCGTGCGGGTCGCGGTCTGCGTCGTGCTGTAGAATGCCTCTAAGATCAAAACGGAATTTGATTTGTATTTCACCCGCCTTGATGTATTTCGCACAGAGCGGTCCGAGGGCCGCAGCGTGTCACTCTCATTAGCAGCCGTGCCGAGGTGAGCGCGTCAGTGACATGTCACGGCATCATTATTTAGTGTATCTGCAACGTCACCGCGTAACTGAACAAGGACGTATTGAGCTCAGTAGTGCTCGATCAATCGTTGTCACTGCGCTGACAAAACAACATTTCTACCTAATGAATTAATGAATGGACTCGTTAATATTTAAATTGATCTTAATCGCACTAATTTGACACACTTCTCGAGGCGTCAAATGTATGACCGCAAAAACGCAGCATCGGCGCCGCTCGGAGTCGCTCGGGCCGCTCGGAGCCGCTCGGAGTCATCTTCGCACAAAAAAGTTCCGTTAGCGACTAAACAAATCTTATTCAATATATTACGATCGAATCGCGACAAATTGTTTTACAATGAGATGTTTTTGTCGATCGTTCTGTTTTTGGTTTACATTTGGGGTTAATGGTTCTCGTCCGCGGTGCAGATTAATGTTTTTGTGATGAAGCCGGGAGGGCCGTGGGAAATGTTCGCTTAATTGTTTTACGAATACTAGAAATGGTTTGTAATTTTCTGCGTATTATTGACGATTAATTGGAGATAAATTAACGATAAATTGATTGTTATGATGCTGTAGTCGTTCTCGAAGCTTACAAAGTGCCCCAGTATACTCGTAGGATCGCTCTACAGATGCAAGTGCATCTACAGACGTGCGCTCTGGCGGGTCACGCGGGTCCCGCGACATTGACTCAAGGTCGATTTAGTGCGACGGAGCCAGTTCCTGCGACGGAGCCAGTTCCCTGGTTTCGCAGAGCACTTAATGATGCTAGTTCGTGCAATGTTTTTTATCCAATAGACGCACACAAGCGATACGCGGCGACGCTCACGTGGATACAGTCTCGTCAGATGCCCGGTTAATGTATTAGGCGAGCAAGGACCACTACTGAACATTAAGCCTCTGCAAAGGATTACTTTAAAAACTTACAAGCGAAAGCAGCACTTGAATCTTGCAATAAATTGACCATTACCGCGTAACACCGATGTTAATATTGCTTGATTGTAGACGTTCTTCAGAATTTATTGTTTGGTGAAACCCCCGTCAGATTGATTCAGTGAGGAGGTTAGAGGTTCCGTGGGCCGTTCGCACACAATGCTAAAGTTGTCTTTGTTTAGTGAACGCTCTGTGATCTTGCCCGTAAACACACATATCGGAGAAGGGTCGTGTCACCGTCCCACTGACCCCCTGACCCACTGGGAGCACTCAGTGAGCAGCCGTCGCGCGCCGCTGAGACGGCATTCCACTCACACTTACTGTCCTTTACATCACGTTTAAATGTTAGTCGATGTAGTCCATTTTGTGTAAATGTAATTACATACGCTTCTTACTTGCCGGGGACTGGAGTAAAATATATTGATTGAGCAGATGATGATCGCCTATTCCTACACAGGACGACTCCCCAAACCTGCTTGACTTACTGCTGGTCCTGTCTAGTCCTTCAACCGTGCAAAGAAGCGAATATCCAAACGTTGCCGATATGACAAGTTGCTCCTGCGTGCCGGGCGGCGCTGGGCTGTGGGCGCCGGACTGATTCACTCTCAGTCCAGCGACTATTTCTTCGTTTTTCCAACTTCCCTAAGTTAATAAACTAAATCAAGAATCATTTGAGCTCATAACTCAACTACTAATTCAAGTAGCGCGAAGTCGCCTTCCCGATATAATTATTATTTCTGTTTCCTATATTATTGTGGTGGGGTACAAAAACATGCATAAGGGTACAGAGTCTGTCTCTGTACAGAGATAACACAGAGAGACTCCTATAATACGTGCTATAACTACGAAACGAAATACAAGGGGTATTTATTAATGTACATAGCTCTCATGTAGTTTCACTTTACAATGTCTTCACATGATCGTCGCTCTCCGTCGCGCAGTGAGTCCGGTGCGGCCACTGGACTACTCGAATACTTGAACGTGAGGCGGCCGCGGCACAGTAAACATGGACACAGTTTATTTATTAAACTTTAAAGATTAAATTGATGCCTGGGAGTGCGTTATCTTGTCGTATACTGAATGCTTCCCCGGCACACGTGGCGTGCGAGAAAATCCTAGTTTGGGGCCGTTTATGAATAAATGAATATTCATATGTTTTAATTTTATTATTATTATTTTTTCCTGCCTGTTCGCCCGTAGCCTCAAGAGGCTATTCTGGCTTCACCCGGTGTGTAGGCATCAGAATTGTATTGTATTGTATTGTTGTTGTATTGTATTGTAATCGTATTGTTACAGACCGCGCAACATGTGCCGCAGGAAGTGAGCGAGGACAACAGTGCGAGACTAGTTCTGTTGCGATACTCACAGAAGACTCACTTGCTAGACCGTTACCAGCGTCGCCGCACCATGGAGTCCGGGACCTACCTCCTCGCCGCTGCTGCCCTCCTTGTCCTCGGTGAGTTCAGTTCAGTGCTGCCCAACACATGACGTGCGACCGCGTGAACTTACAGTTCCTTCACTTATTCGCATCACATGTCACGGTGAGGACAAACCCTTTACCAATTAAGAAGAATATTTACTAAAGTGCCGTTGTGCTTCAGCGGCCTAAATCAATCAATAAAACAGCTGCACTTGCATTCGACATTGGTTATTTGGAGTGTTTTATTAGTTTTGTTGTTTGAGGCGGCGCAACGCGATCGCCAGCTAACTGTACATAATTACCAATAATTAGTGGCGGCGCGGCGTTGCGTTGATCGGCATTCGGCGCGCACAACAATGTGGGTTAACCGAATCACATATAGTCATTCCGGCGCGAAGAGCCCAGCCACGCGGGTGTGATGCGTCCTCTAGTGCATTAGTCATCCATCTTCCCATAGTCTTCTTTCCAAGATTTCAATTCAATGTAGTCGTATTTCCGTGCCTTCTAAGCATTGTCCGTAGACCTTGTAAGTTGTACGATACTAAGTTCTCCAATGCTGACATCTTTTGTTTATGATAGAAATGTATTTTTCGAATATTTCTAAAGTGAGTTAAGTCCGATCATATGTATATGTATATACACTCAACTGTATACACATAAAAGAGAGGTGGATGTACACATTTGTCTATCGTTTTCCTTTTTTTTGTAAACCTAAATTTATATTATTATTTTTTTATTCTATTTCTACTTTTGATGGTGGAAACTTGTTTGGGTTTTGTTTTAGCTATTTTTTTTAATGTTTTATGTTGATTTTGTATTCCCAAATAAATGAATAATGAGTTTCCCAAATAAATAAATGAATAAATAAAATAAGTTCCATGCTGCGTTGTAGACTTAGTTTTACTCTTAAGCATACATAAATATATATAGAGACCGTTCGTAAAATGTCATAAACGGGGCAGTGATTCAATGTGACGTATATACCTACATATGTGACGATAGCGGCTAGGAATAGCTGACGATATCGCGACTAGATGCGGGATAGCGCACAAACAGAGCCGCAGTGATGTGCAGCGCGGCACGTGCGCGGCGCCACTGCTCGAGCGACACACGTGCTACTTGTGTATCGCGAGCACGTGCCCGTGTACAGGGAGTGCTTCGATTAGTAGAGTGTGTAATGTGCGCGCCATCGTGGGAGGTTCCACAGTAGTAGCTAGACACTGCTAGTTGTGACGACGCACCTCCGACAGACTCACCGCCCATGAAGGGCTTGCCGAAGTAACAGATATCATATTGAGTCCTAGTCAATTTAATTAATCAATATCTTATTATAATATTATGATTATTATAACGGGACTGTCGCCGCCATCTTAAATGTAATTGAGTTATTTGCTATAATAAATTGTATTGATTGGTTGTGACCCGTTTTTGTTCACTCATGCCATTTAGCAGCCTTGCGTTCTGGCTCAAGGAGTCGAACAGAGAGGACGGAGGCTGACAACATGAAGCAGATTTGTGAAATAGACGGCTTCGGCCTGGGCACGAGTGTCGGCGTACTCTTACTGTACCTAGCCCATCTTTCCTCGAGTGTCTGTTGGTATCGAGCCGCACTAGGCCGGGGCGCAGCGCGGGCGCGTGCATTGTGCAACCTAAAAACTATTCTTAAATAATAAAATAAATAAGAACTAACTCATCCTGTATACAGCTTTACTGTTAAGTATTCGCCAAAAAACAAGATCAGTATAAGGCGGGGGACGCGTCGCTATGTGCCGCCCCCCGCGCGCCGCACCCCGCCGCTCTCCCCGCGCTCCTCCACACACTCTACCTATCTGTACCCGGATTGCAAAGCGAGTACTTCAAGTGATGGGTCTGTATGCCACGTGCCACCAGCGCCGAGAGACAAATATTTATTTTAACCGAAGCTAAATGTACCGAGGACGTTCTCATCGCCGCGGCGCCGCGCTGTGCCCAGCTGTGCCGCGGACAGATGTTCATACAGCTATTTCATTTCCGACGATTTTATTCGTCGACAATTTAGTATCGTGATTTTCAAAGTATCAACAGGTGCCGTTTATTTGTATTTATTCTATAGGTCCAGAGTAAATTTACATAGTTTATCATACTGCGATGTCAAATTAATGAATGACTTGAAAAGTTATTTCAAACTTCCAAATCACGGGGATATTGTTAAAAAAAATATAATTTCACATGTAGGAGTTTATTTTTTGTTACTGGGCGCTTGGACGCCTAATTAGAAACATTTAAAAAAACCATCCATTATAAATATACAAGAAGTATAGTCAGGCACGGTGGCGGCAACATTTAGGTTTGGGGGTGTTTTTCTGGATGTGGAGATGGAACCGTTCGGAAGGTTGAAGGTACAATGGATCAATGGCAATACAAAAATATCTTAGAGCACACAATGATTCCCTACTGGGCCGATCATTTGGCTGTAACCTGGATCTTTTAGCGTGACAATGATCCTTAATACACGGCTAATAGCGTCAAATGTTTCCTTAGAGAACAGCGTAGGATATCCATTTTTGACTGGCAAATAGTCCGGATTTAAGCTCGATAGAAAATCTCTTGTATATTGTTAAAAAGAAATTCTCAAACAAAAGTAACACCAGTCAAAACGAACTATATGAAGCATTTGTGAAAGCATAGAATTCAATCTCCCTAGAAAAATATATGAATTGATTGAATCAATGGCACGTCGTTGCAGTGCTGCTATTGAAAATAAGGGATACTCCACTAAATAATATATTAATTACTAACTGACGCGGCAGACTTCGTAGTGCCTCAATCGATAAATAAAAGACCTAAACTTTTTTATAAAATAAACTTAAAACAAACAAAAGGAATCCGTCCGACGGGGGACACATCAAAGGAAGTACAAAATTGTTATTTTTATTAATTCCGAGCATTTTCATATTTATTTAACTTTTAAACCTTCTCTGGACTTCCACAAATAATTCAAGACCAAAATTAGCCAAATCGGTCCAGCCGTTCTCGAGTTTTAGCGAGACTAACGAACAGCAATTCATTTTTATACATATAGATAACTATTGGTAGGCTGTAGATAGTAGCTATTTCATAAATAATAATAATTACTAATACTTAAAAATATATTATTGTTTATACTTTTTTGTCGTTTTTTCTAATTAGTTGACCATTATTGTTCATGGTTTAAAGCTGATTTAAATGTTTGTCCCTAATGTAATGTTGAAACTGCACTTGTGTAGTGGGATTTATATTGTTTTTCTATTAAATGATAAATCGTTGAACATATTGTTGTCCTATTTATTGTTTAATTTCAAAATAAAAACGATTGTGGTGAAGTATCTTACATAATGTCAAGCACCGTTGGTGTTATATGGTTTCAGCCATGTTGTTAAGTTAGGTACGTCAATCAATAAACACACGTCAAGCCACCGTGCGCGATCGGACGGTGCAGATGAGCTGCTGACAATCATGCCGCCCTGGTACGGCAACCGCTGGCTTGGTGTGGTCAAAGCTCCCCGCAATCGCAGAAAGCTCTCTTTCTGAGTACTTAATATTGAAAATTGAAAGTTTTCTGTTCGTTGTATCGGTTTACAAGCACGATATAAAACTCGTGTTATGTTCACTTCAACTTATTGTCTCCGCAGTGTGTTGCCGCACGAACCTTGAACTTAGAACTCCCTCGACATCGCCTGTTGAGTTCTAAAAGTTTTCACTGATCAAAAGTGAAATGAGCTGTTAGTACTGAGCTCACGTCGAGTGAGCATCGAAAGTTAGAGCGCCATGGCTGTTCGTCGACCATGGACGTACATACATACATACAGATCAGACGCCTCGCACTCCGCCGGGCAATAAATTGATGGGTTTCACTTTTACTTCATTGTAATTTAAATCTATTTGCCTTTCGTCTGTTAGAGTCAAGTCATTTTGTGATGGAGTGGAAGTCTCATTTCATTATTAGAGATCATAAGTTTTAAAAAATATTTAAAAGAAACTATATGGAATTGGTGCTTTTTGTCAACACAGTATACTACAAGTGTTTTTTGAACTCAATATCACTACATAATTCATACAGTACCACAGTGTCACATATTATACATCCCACACAACAATGGAGCTCGCATAAAGCTCAATAAGCTTTATCTACGACTACGAGTACCAAGAACTCATAAGATTGAAGAAACCACCTGCCACCACGTGTCGTTCTTTGTGTACGTTTCTATAAGAGTTAATAGAAAAAATAAATTAACATCCAATCCCACTGGGTCGAGCCTGTCTCGTGTGAGGCACGTGACTAGTTAGCACGCGACACACAGGTTCGAGTAGTGTGCAAGTCCGGACGAGCGGGAGCTACACATCGCGACCGTTTGATGTAGATAGTAATGTAGGAGTCGGGCGACGACCCGCGGCTGCCTGCTGCATAATGAAAGTGCGACATTTGAATTTAGCGCCGCTCGTGTCCATGTACCGCGCCCACCGGGCCACACCGGGCCACACCGGGCCACACCGGGTCACACCGGGCCACACTGGACCCGCTGTGCGCAGAGATAGCGCGCAACAACCCGTTACACGATATCACAGAAATTGATAGTGGTGGCTGTCCTGTACTTCAGAGTGGAACGCACGGCTGCAGTAGGACGACCGACTTCCTTGGTCAGATACGGCCTTGTTTAATTCATTTAAACATGATAGTGGTCAGGCATAAAGGGTCTTCCTGGGGCGTGCGGTTTACTCCCAACATCTGCAGACCGTCCAATCCCACATACTCCGTAGGCCCCCTAGGCGCGGACACCTCGTATGAGGTTCGGCCGAACGGTTTTGTTTCTGCGCGAAGCAATTACAGCAGTTCAGGATTGGATAGCCTATAGGATACAATTTTACTGCCAGTGAAGTCGGCACCGCTTAACCAGATCTCTTGTAAAAGTAGTGAAGTGAGTATAATCCACAGGAATGTGGACGGTGCACTAGTGCGCCGTGGTCCGCACCCAGCCCCCTCGGTCCTCGAGTGCAGCGCCGAGCCGGGCCGGACCAGTTCCGGGCGACCGACCGACCGCACGAAGCTACCTGCGCTAAATCACATCGTCCTATCGGTGTCGTTGTATTTTATTTTATTTGTAGACTGAGTTTATGTCAGAATCTCCACAGCAGCTTCTCAGTTATTTAATAACAATAAAACAGAATGCACTGAGGTCAACGAAGATTATTATATTAGAGGTTAAAGTATGAAATTGCCGATTTGTACTAAAAAATTGAAATTCGTTTTTATTTTCATATAACATATTTATTTAATCAAATTATCTATAGGTACACTGCTGCCATCTAATAGGAAGGTCATTTATGCCTTTGCGATAGAACTCTGGTGATCTAGACTCTACAAACAGTGTGAAAGCATTTTGTACTGTCTCCTGGGAATAAAACTTTTTATCACGTAGAAAATTGTCCAAATCACGAAAAAAATAGTAGCTCAGTGGAGCAAGGTCTGCTTGCTATTGCTTGACTAGATCGGAGAAAGCTATAGTGAATAGCATGCATATAACATGCTGAGACCACCAAACAGTTACCGTTACCATTTTATTGCTAAGCTTTGGTTTAGGACACTGCTGCGGCGTTTGACCTGGAGTCAGCCACTGCATTATTCGCTTACGGTTATCGTAAAGAATCCACTTTTCATCACATGTCACAATTCAATCAAATAATCCTTCATTTCTGTATCGATTCAACAAGGCAACACAAGTTTCAAACCGCGTTTCTTTCTACAGATCAGTCAAATCGTGAGGCACCCATTTTTTCATATATTTTTTTTTTTATTGATTTGAAGCAAGTGAGTCAATATTCTTGGTAAGGTAACGTTAAACCATGTCACTAATTCCTGGATAGTTTGGCTCGGATCGGCTTCCGCCATCTCTTTCACTTCATTTCCATTTACATGTGCGGGCGGTCTTCCACGTGGTTCGTTCTTCAAATCAAAATTTCCATCACGAAAGCATTTAAACCAAACTCGCCCGGTGCGTTCATTGGCGCCCTTCTCTCCAAACGCAACATTGATATTGCGAGCTGTTTCTGCAGCGATAGTTCCGCGACGGAACTCGTATTCAAAATAAGCTTGAATTTTCAAAGCGGCCATCTTTATTGTCTAAGATGAATAAAAAAAACAACTGAAAGTCGATAATAGAATGTTGCACGTTTTTTAAAATAATAACCTAATAGGTACCATTTGAAAAAAGCTTCACTTAAAAATCTCAAACTATGGTTCTATGCTAACTAGGTTCTATGTCAATTCGAAGTACCTATTACAATAGAACGGCAATTTTATACTGTAACCCCTATTATTAATGTACAAACTAACATACTGCTCTAACAAATGTTTTGTGTTTTGGAAGAAACGCTAAATATTCCGTATAACATTATTTCTTGCAAGACTGGGAGTATAAGACATGGCGCTCCAATCCTAGGGAGTATCCCTGCCATCTTCCGCGATGATTGTAATCCTTAGGGATGACATCTCGCATAGTCTTTATTATCAGAGTAATTAAAAAGATAAAGCCAAGTTTGCACGTAATATTTCAAGAGTCCTCAACGAAGACAAGCAGTACTTCCCGCGCGGCTAGAGACTGGTGCTTTACAAAGTACATGCTGTGCTTCCCGTGGAGTACAGCTTCCATCGCTGGGTCGGCGCTCCCGAATACCAGCTACTCCCGCTTACCTCTAGGTATATAGAAAAGGGCCGTTGGGTTTGTCGATTATTTCTAATGTAATCGTTATCTCGGATCGTTCGGAAGATCTGGGTCTAGGGAAAGACTTTGTTTTCTGGTGTTTTGATAACGAATGTTCTTTGAAGAGTGCTCTAATCATGAGATGTTACATATGCTCGACTGTATAGATAAGAGAATAATAAATCACTACATAGTATAAAACAAAGTCGCTTTCTCTGTCCCTATATCTGTCTGTCCCTATGTATGCTTAAATCTTTATAAGTACGCAACGGATTTTGATGCGGTTTTTTTAATAGATAGAGTGATTGAAGAGGAAGGTTTATATGTATAATAACATCCATTAAATAGTGGAGAAATCAATAATAAATTACAGTTTCAGAAGCGAAGCGAGTTCGGGTCGCTAGTAAAGAATAATATATGAACTTATTATGTTTCGAAGGAGTTGAACATCTGACAGTATCAGTACACAGATTAAGTAATGGAATGCTTTGTGCAACAAAGAGCTCCCGTGACCGCCAATAGGGATGTGACCTCATTCTATTGTGACTCCAAGGGCAGTGGGGTGACTGCGTTATGAATGCAATGAATACGTGCTCTATTCCGTGTGTCGACTGCCGAGACTACGGCGCGGCGGCGATGCACGTCCAGTGAACTCCTTCTGAACTACGATCACCTGATATTTTATCTAAAGCTTTGTAGCGCAAATTTTCTTAAGTTATCCATAAGATAGACCGGAGAGTTCTTTATTTAAGATTAATAATTAAACTAATGTTTTGTGTTGGAAATGTCTGTGCAGGCACACAATTTGCAATGTACTACACAGTTACAGCCGGTAAGAATGCAAAAAGGTACGGTCCGGATCTGGCGATTCGTTCGTCACAACAAGTGCCATAAGTACGGCACATTCGGTATCATAACTGTCTACCCAATTTCACGAGAAAAAGTGTTTTTTGTATTTATGGTATTTTTATCATACTTTATTTAGTTTTATTTAATAGCGTGATGATATTTGTAGGCAGTATATCATCCGATTGCTGCAAAAATATTGGGACTTTTGAACGACAAACTGCGACCATTAGGTTTGACCGCGCAGAGTCCGCTCTCCACGTTACTACTCTAACATTACCAAAACAAATATGAAAAAAACAAAACGGGTGAGAACTGAGGGTGCGAGGCCAGATAGGTTGTGGATGTATTAACATATCCCAACAGAACTGCGAACCGAAAACCACATATTTTCTGTTGATCAGCTCTGGGCATTTTTTTTCTCTATATTCTTGGGTTGAGTTTCATTAGTTATTGGCAGCAAAGACGCTGTTGGGCCCTTGAAACTCTGAGACAGGGGAAGGCCAGGCTATGTCGAATCCCAAAACGACCACCGACTAAACTCCACCGATCACTCACTCCCAAGCCACGACCACCACCCGAGACGGGACTCGGGTGAGGGTAGTTAGGTGGCATTTCGCGGTCAACACCTCAACCACACGCGCGACTCGCTCCAAGGGCGCCCGGCCGACGGAACCGTCGAGGCGACGGTCGACGACCCCACGCCAGTGTCCCGGGATACACCGCGGGGCCAGAACGAGCCTGCCGCCCGTTCGCTCATTCAAGCACATCCACTTAGTGTAGTTCCGTATGTGCCGCGGCGCACTGCCATGTTAGTAACGCGCCGCGCGGCCTCGACCCCCTCACATCTCCCTCATGACCTTTACTGGGGGGAGAATAGTAGAGACCCTACTCGAGGGTATTTTTCTCCGAATATTAGGCTCATAATGAGAGACAATCCTTCAAATCCCACCATACACATGGCATCAACTTACCATCACCGGTCATCAATATTTAAAAAACAATTCGGCAAAAACAATATAACGTTTCAATAGAGAATCACGAACTACTTTACGATTGATAACGTTTCTTTCGTGTGGCACAAACACCGCACATTTCGGTACATCCAGACTTTCAGAACTGGGCCAAAACAGTTTTGTGGTCAACTCCTAGCCCTAACGTCGTACCTACACATATGCTTATTTTGATTGTTTGCTTTGACGCTGAGTTAAGAGCATAACTCTTCATTGGATTCACTAATCATGGCGGATCTCATTAGTACGACAAAGTCGACGACGTTGTTCAAACAACACTCTATTTATGGCACCTCGGATGTTTGGAAACTTAATATTTGCTTTTAAATTGATAACGTAAATGAATGATTTAATTACGTGGCTGAGTTAAAATATGAGTGTGCAAATAATTGTAGGTCATGTATGAATGATGTAATGATTATTTGTTTTTAAATAAAGTTGTTATACGGTACATTCAAGTTATCTAATGTTTCATGTGCTGTGTACATAGAGATCAGAAGTACTTTAAATATTATGTATTTTAACAGATCGAGGTGTTCGCAATCGCTAAGTATGTGAAGGTTGCAGGCTGTCGACGTCAGTATACTCGCCTCAAAGTTTCAACAATATTGGATACGAATTCCGAAAATGTATATAATAATTATTATATCCTGTTCCTGTGCAGCGCCGACGAGCGAGGCAGCTCGCGACGCGTCGTGTCCTCGCATCTGCGGGCCGGCGCTACAGGGGGAGCCCGTCTGTGCCACCGACGGGTACATCTACCCCTCGCTCTGCGAGATGAGGAAGAAGACTTGCGGGAAAGGTATGCGCCCATCTACGGCGGACTCTGTAACCGCCCGACCTCCCTCGTAGTGCCACCAGCAACTGCTCGTGGAACAAACAGCACTGCTAACGTCACCACGGAGAGACTCACTCTCATGTCTCATTGTATTTTTAATATTATGAATTGACATAAGTCTTACCTGCATTAAATTTGAAGAATTGCATTACCAACTATGTCAAATAACACAATTGAAGTTCATAAGTAATATAATATACGATTTTGAAAAGTGAGCAATTGATGAATACATTCCAGGAGTGCGGCTAGCCCCGGACCAGGGCTCATGTTCCCGCGCGCAGGGCTCCAAGTGTGACCACCGCTGCACGTCGGAGCGGGACCCGGTCTGCGGGACCAACGGACGGACCTACCTCAACCGCTGCATGCTGCAGGTCGAGATCTGCAGGTACCGATCGTCGTATTCCCAACCTCGTTCACCGACCTCACCACACAAGTGAGTGTCACGTCGAGCGGACGCGCGCCATCAACCACCATCACCATGAAAACTATCAACTATTGTTTACGTAGCCACTAGGAGCACATAGCACCGCCCATACAGTACATGGAATAACAAGATGGAACAATAAGATGCCAAACTTTGATTTCATTTATGTCTGGTTGCGTGGACTACGCGTCCGTGTGGCAAGACGCCAGAATCAGTCGCATTGTTTATTTATTATATGAACATCATCACACTGTGCATGCAGAAGTGTCCATTTATATTATAATACGTGCCACTGAGATGCAGTTTTCAAGTGTTTTCGTTAAAGTTAGCTAAATCCGTTATCCCGACACAGGCTCGGCATAGGCCTGTCTCACCTGGGCGCCTGCAACAACATCAGCGCGCACCGCGAGAACTGCCCCGTCGACTGCTCGCAGGCCCCGCTCGACGGCCCCATCTGCGGCTCCGACGGCAACGTGTACAAGAGCACGTGCCAGATGAAGCTGCTCACTTGCGGGTCAGTGCTCGGTTCGCCTCCCCTGTAGATGCGCTTACTATGCGCTGTTACTAAGCCAATCGAATGGTTATTTAACGATATTTGTTGTTGTATATTCAGACAAGGAGTGGTCCGCACCAGCAAGAAGCACTGTCAGACGACCCGCCACTGCCGCGAGTCGTGCTGGCGGGCGGCGCGCCCCACCTGCGGCTCGGACGGGAAGCTCTACGCCAACGCGTGTCGCATGAAGGCTACTAATTGCGGGTTCGATGGGCTCTCTAACTTAAGCTGCCTTTAACGGATGTACGCTTGACTCCGCGGGCGGCGAACGCGACTTGTTGACCGTCGCTCCTGCAATACCCGGGCCATAGACAAGCCACTGCTTGCCTCATTTGAATAAAGGCTAAGGCTAATGACTTGGTTTTATGCTATTTTTTATTATTAAAAAAGCCATTAACGCACAAAACGTTTGAATTTCATTTACAGCAAGCACGTGTTCGAAGTACCGATGGCGTTCTGCGTGTCACAAGAGCGCACCTCCGGGGGAGAGTCCTGCTCCACCGACTGCTCCGGAGAGAAAGAGAAACCCGTCTGTGGCTCTGATGAAAACATTTACAGGAATGAATGCGAGATGAAGATGCTAAACTGTGGGTTAGTAGAAAATCAAATCAAAACCGATACACTCTTTGCTGAACTGGTAATACTTGCTGAATATCTAATAACGGGGACGTCTCGCGACTTCCTCCACCGCCATTTGCCCCTACAATTTTTAGCTTATTAAAAATTAGCCTTATTTTCCGACTAACCTATCTCCTTCCTACCTTTATTTAACTCGTTATTTGGATTGCGGCATGTTGCAAGGCACCGCAGGTCCGCGTGTCAAGTCGGTTGGCGGTTCACGCGGCATCGTGGAACCGTTTAACATCAGTTAGTTGGTGAACTTGAAGCTTAGAGCACTTTAGATGACAATACAAAAAAGAACTCAAGCCAATATTGTTTCATTGCTGATTCCTTTACTTCTTGTTTCAGGATAAACAACAGGAAGATGGTGAAGAGGGTGGACATGGAAAAGTGCAAGTCCAAAATGAACAAGTGTCTGAAGGTGAAATGTCCGAGCGACGCGGACCCCGTGTGCGGTACCGACGCTATCGTCTACGCCAACTCCTGCCACTTGAAGGTCGCCACTTGCTTGTAAGTGTCGGAGCCTTTAGGAGACTTAGTGCATACATGTCACAGACGCTACCGGTAGCACAACCTGTACAAACCACGTACTTGCGCCGCAATAAGACTTCAGACGATATTATATACACTATCAACATGATTTTTCTTTCATTCGTTAGTTTCTATCTTCATCAGGTTATTAATTAAGTAGCGGTGCGAGAGGCTGTATCTATTGTGATGGAACGTAACGAGTTCCAATCCAAATGGTCTGTTATAATGTTTGGTACTGCGCACCGTGCAGACGAGGAGTTCAGCTGGCTCACTTCGGAAACTGCACGCTTCTGCCGCGCCTGGAGACCGACTGCCCCGACAACTGCGACAACGTGCTGGAGCAGCCCGTCTGCGGATCCGACGGAAACGTCTACAGGTCGATATTATTACATTGTCACTTGCTCATTTCTTCTAAAGAATCATTCATCATTCCTGTCCTTTTCCCAGTCAAATCAAATCAAATCAAATCAAATCAAATCAATCAATTTCACGCAATCCATCCAATTCTTCTTAGGTCTACCTCTTCATCTATATCCTTCCACATTCATAGTTAACATTCTCTTACCCATCTCATTTTCATTTCGTCTCATCACATGTTCATACCATCCCAAGCGCGCACTTCTCAGCTTCTCTGTCACAGGTGCCACTTTCAGACTTCCTCTAACATATTCATTCTATCCATTCTCGTTACTCCACACATCCATCGCAACATTCGCAACTCTGCTGCATGCAATCGCCTTTTATCCGCCACTTTAGTTGTCTCTGTGCATTCTAAAGAATACTTATGTATAAGACAACATTCTAAACCGAGTGTGGCACATGGCACATTGAACTAATAAGGAACGGGTCCAACAAATGCTTTAGGTCTGAGTGCGAGCTGCGGCGGCTGACGTGCGGGCAGCACGTGGTGGCGGTGGCGGCGTCGCACTGCCGCACCACGGCGCTCTGCCACGAGCACTGCCCCGACACGCCCGCCTTCATCTGCGGCTCCGACAACCGCTTCTACAAGAACGAGTGCCTCATGAAGAAGGAGAACTGCGGGTAACAACGCCTTCATTTCGTACACATCGGAAGTATAGCGTACGAGCGCACGTGTGCATTTCGTAACGAGAGCTATCGCCACAGCAAGCACGTGTTCGTGGTGCCGCTGAAGCGCTGCCTGGCGCGGTTCCAGTACGCGGGCTGCGCGCGCGTGTGCCCGCCGGAGTACGACCCGGTCTGCGGGACTGACGACAAGACCTACTCCAACAAGTGCTTCCTCGAAATGGAGAATTGCCGCTCGAGGTAACTAACATCCCTATGTCGCTCTCCTAAAATGTAGATACAACTTTATTTGGCACTTAACATAGTTCTGTGACGTTCTGGGTGCGACCAAAACAAATGCGTTCTCAAATTTCCAGGAGTCTCGTCCAAATGAAGTACCTGGGGACGTGCTCTGAGCCGATCGCGGAGGAGCCCAAGAACTATCTGTATAGGTAGAGCGTGGAGTCGAGACAGTGATGCATTCTTGCTTCAATATTGTAATCGCGTCGTGGGATATTCAGTGCCAACTTTACTTCTTGCTACACTTCTATTTGAAATAACTCGTCTTCCACTTTATAAACTTAGATTTATTATGTAATTATAATTACAAATTTATTTATTAAACTCAGAGACGCCGTAGCCTTGCAAGGCTTTGACGGTATATGTATCTGATAAATAAACTTTAGATTAGTATCACTAATTGTCTGTACGCAAATATGTATGTAATGTTCAACTAGCAAACGTGGTTAAATTATCAAGTACAAACTATGTATTTGAACACAAAGCGTTGTCGACAACATGGCGGCCGCGTCCCGCAAGCAAGTACCCGCGGAGCGGCGAGCGCGTCATACTCGACGGTGGGTGACGCGGCGGTGGGGACGCGACAGCGGGTGACGCGCTGGCGGACGCGGGCCACTACATGGCAAACTATTTATTGTGTAGATTAAGTTAACTCTTTGTAAATAATTAGCGAATTGTTTCTAAATAATATTTATTTATTTACGTTTTAAGTTTTTTAATGCATTTACGGAAAAGACTCAGGAATTTATTAATTTTAAATTATTACAGTATACTGTCAATCAGACCCCGGTAGTGAAGCGCGGGGCTGGTCGTGCGGTGTCGATTGTGTAGAAGTGAACAATAAAATTGAGTAATAAACATTGAATGTTTTTAATTCCCACCAGACCACCGGTAACTTTACAGGCGGTAGAGAGTGCTATGAGACTGCAAAGATTAGTATCGCGGTCCTGGATGTTTCTACCACTATACCACTGTACGTTTATAAGTCGTCGTGGCCTAAAGGAAGTCGTCGTCCGGTGCATTCGTATCGAGCGATGCACCGGTGTTCGAATCCCGCCGGCGGGTACCAATTTTTCTAATGAAATACATACTCAGCAAATGTTCACGATTGACTTCCACGGTGAAGGAATAACATTGTGTAATTAAAATCAAAAACCCGCAAAATTATAATTACGTAATTACTGGCGGTAGGACCTCTTGTGAGTCTGCACGAGTAGGTACCTCCACCCCGCCTATTTCTGCCGTGAAGCAGTAATGCGTTTCGGTTTGAAGGGTGGGGCAGCCGTTGTAACTATACTAAGACCTTAGAACTTATATCTCAAGGTGGGTGGCGCATTTATGTTGTAAATGTCTATGGGCCGAAGTAACCACTTAACACCAGGTGGGCTGTGAGCTCGTCCACCCATCTAGGCAATAAAAAAAAAACTTGGCACGATTGAGGGAGGGAGGTTTCAAGCGCGAGAGGTGGGATACCGTCCTCGCCGGGGGCTTTGCGCCTCTTCATCGATTTCTGTCTTCTTCTGATTATAAAACGAACGAAACCCCGGGCAAAACTATTATAAAATTAATAATACATTTTTAAAACCCAAATTGAACGAAGTTAATTTAATTATAAAAAGTGAACTATTTATTTTGACCCTATGTGTACGATGCGCAGACGGCCGGGCGGCCCCCCTACTATTTTGTGGAGAGCTCACGACTCGTGCCGATTACTATACCTGAACTATCCAAAATATTGCATGTTACTGTACTAAGTAATATCATTTTAGTGGCTTGCGCATTACATATCGTCTCAAAACACTGTTGTTCCAATGCGCATACGCACAGTGAATTGAGCATACTCAGTATCAATGGCTACTGATTGTGGTGATTCACCCGAATCACCTTTTGTCAAAAATTTTTACAACGAATGATGACTACGAGAAAATGAACTACATACACTTTTCATTTGAAAGAAAAACCTTTCTTTGGTGTAATTGATTGATACTTAGATCAGTTGTTTACCTGATGGTGCTCCGCGCCACCACAGAACATGCACCTCTTGATGTACATATAGAGTTTTGTTTGAGTTGCTTTGTTGAATATTATATTAATTCATTCGAATGCTATTGTTATTAGAGATATTATAGGCGCGCTGTAACATATGGAAATGGTTACGAATATCGTTTATTAATTGCGTACAAGTGGGTAGTTTATCACAATCAGAATAGTTAATCTTGAATAGTTTAATTAATTCTAAACAAACCTTCTTACAACCTACAATGATATGAACAAAAATAAAACCCTCAAGACATTCTAACTAAGTAGTTGTTAGTTGTTTTAACGAGCTCACTAACGAACAATATCTGTCTAGTTATATCATTTTCTAAATTCATTATTAAAAATAACTACTGTGAATAATAAAAATATTTGAGGCAGTTTCTTAATTGGCCTTAATTAATATTAAAAAAAATTAAAATCCCAACTTTTTTTAAATAAATTCCGACAACGTAATGATCCCCGACAACTTCGTATCGCGGCGCCGTCGATCTGAATCTGCTGTTAAAAAAACTCATATGCAACCATCTCTGTGATCTGTGAACCAACGTCCTCCAAAGGGCAGGCTCCAAACGTCTTCTTTGACACCGGAGTCGGACTCTACTTTGTTAAATTATCTATATCTATACTATAATAATATTATAAAGAGGAAAGATTTGTTTGTTTGTTTGTTTCGAATAGGCTCCGAAACTACTGGACCGATTTGAAAAATTCTTTTTCCATTAGAAGCCGACATTGTCCCTGATGAACATAGGCTACTTTTTTTAATTTTTTATTTATTAATTTTTTTGGTTTCATGTGTGTTTTAATGTTTCCGAAGCGAAGCGAGGGCGGGTCGCTAGTGTTACAATAAAACGCGAGGTTAATTTAGACAGCATTCTATCTTCTTAAAAATATAATTATAATATATAAAAAATATAATTACTTAGTACAGAATACGATTTAAAAAAAATAAAACCAGTAGATAACATTTAGTATATTTTATTGATAATGTGAATTGCAAATTAATTACTTTGCAAGCCATGTGGAGTACTCGTATGTCACAATGGTACTACAAGACGGGGGCCGATTAAATGTGTGAAATTGTAATAAGCACGACTGCAGTACGACGCGACGCGACGCAGTCTCCGAGTGAAGACAGAATTGTATTGTTAATGTAATGAGCGGCGATGCTCTCCCGGCGAACTATGTACCAGTGTTCCTGTAATTTTCATCATATTCTCTGATTTTTGTTGACATGCCGCATTGAGGAGTTCCCTGGGGAATTCGCAGGGTCTACAGCGCGGAGCCAGCTCATCCACCAGCGCGCGGAGACGACCTTCAAACTGCAGCAGACACGACCAGCTCAACGCCTCGTGGTACTTCAGTATTGCAACTGTATCCGATACACGCTGCGTCCATTATAGATATTTGACTCAAGCTACTACGAGTACTGAGTGCGAGTATGGACCGCGCCCTAAGTCTTTGGGTGCAAGCCGGGCTGTCTTCCGGTGGCTGCTTGGAAACACACTCTTATAATAAGTGTTGTGTGTATCTTCAAAATCAAAATCGATTTTGAAGATACAGAAGAAGATACACATATGTCGCGGCGGTGCGGCGGCGGTGCGGCGGCGGCGGCGGCGGCGGTGCGGCGGCGGCGGCGGCGGCGGTGCGGCGGCGGCGCGGTGTACTGACGTCGAGCGAGCGACTCTACCGGGACTCGGAAGCCGCGCCCGAACCATTTTTTTGTAAGATAAATAAATAAGCACGCACTAACCGCGCTCTCACTAATTATTTCTAAAGTGAAAGAATGTATAATGTGTCATCGTGTAATAAAAATCAATCGGCCGGTAGAGGAAAATGTAACTGCACTACTGTTTTTTTCGCTATCTATTCTCGTGGAAGGATAAGTGAGCTCACGGGCTCAACCTGAGAGAATTTGCTAACACTAGCCGTATCAGGAGCAATTTTTCGCAGAATCTATCACCGGATCGGAATCGAAACCCACTGAGAAGATCCGGCGAGAAACTCAGTGGGCTGTGTCTGTGGGTTAGTTCGCTCGTTGAGCTCTTCGTCGTAATTGACAAGTTCGACGAGGACGGTGACCGGTGACGGTGTAAATACACCGAGAGTGGATCCGGAGGACCCGACAAGACATGTTTCGGGCTACGGCGGCCTTGCGCTGCCCCGCCNCACCGGATCGGAATCGAAACCCACTGAGAAGATCCGGCGAGAAACTCAGTGGGCTGTGTCTGTGGGTTAGTTCGCTCGTTGAGCTCTTCGTCGTAATTGACAAGTTCGACGAGGACGGTGACCGGTGACGGTGTAAATACACCGAGAGTGGATCCGGAGGACCCGACAAGACATGTTTCGGGCTACGGCGGCCTTGCGCTGCCCCGCCGCCGCGCCGCCGCGCCGCCTTGGTCGGATAGGTAATTAGCGGCGGACACGATAATCGATTATCGTGTCGCGTTGCTTTTTCAAAGTAGCTTTCTGATATTTCTTTTAGATACGTAAGTATCGGGTCTATATTGGGGTCGTCGTGAAGACTAACGTTTTTCACGTACTCCGGTGCCCGGACGGCTATGCTGCAAAAACGAGATTGGACGGCCGCGTGAGGGAGCACTGCACTTGCATAGGACATGACGGAACGTGTGCAAGTTTTGTAGTGTCACCTTGTTACGAAGGAACAATTTACTTCGCTTGCGTTGCTTACATAGCGTAGAGTGTACCGAGTAGGAACGCGGCTCGGTCGCGTACTGAGTTGATGTGGGGACCGAGTGTTATCCCTCTGTCATAGGTACTTGGTATAGGTTTTCCAAAGATTTTGATAGTGGAATGGAGTTACCAGGCTGGGTACTCGACGAAATGCTAAGCGGTGTCGGGAGGGCGACCCCTTTTGAAGATAATTGTCTATTGGCTCCGGTGACCACTACTATTACGTACGCGATCTCTCCTTACAAACAAATGTCACTAAATACATTACGTATACCGGCTTAAAGCATTTAACTACAACTAGTCTAACAGCCACGGAACCCAGAACATTACGTGATGTAGTGCACAGCAGTCAGCAGCTCGGCTGTGCCCCGGGCGTTGTTCATGTCCATGAGCCACGGTGACTACCTACCATCAAGTGGGCCATATGTTACTTAACCTACAAAGAAAAAAGAAGCATGACAAAATTCACAACAGTCTAGAAGAGAACTCACCGACCAGCACGACGTACGAGAATATCCATTTTAAAACCATTTCGTGCAAATACTCTGCAATTTTGTGATTGATCTGTCACTTTGTAGTCAGTGACTCGTAGGTGACAGTTAGTGACAGTTGGTGACAGCTGACTGGAGCTTAGCAAAGAAGAATTGTTTCATCGAGTAAAGTAACTGTAGGAAGCTAACGTTGAGGCGCTACCACGGTGGGTGTTGCGGGGACCCTCTTCAAAATGTCCGTCGTGACATACGAGTACTTTTCGCAATTAGCTTGCCGATTGTGTATTGAATGGATTCAATTCGCTCAATTCAGAGATCTGCCCCAGAAAGTCCTCCACTTCAATTAAAAGTCTAGATCGCCTCTTGGGTTCGCGAAAAATCTGATGACCGATTTCACGAATCCCCCGTATTGTCACCCGCACTGCCACTCTTCCTGCCTGCTGATTAATTAACACAGTAGATAGATAGAATGTCTGGCGGAAGTGCAGCCTTCACTCGAACCGTAACAACTCGGCAGGTATGTACGTTGTAGATGTCTATGGGCTCCAGTAACCACTTAACACCAGGTGGACTGTGAGCTCGACCATCCATCTATGCAATAAAAAAAACCCTGTAAGACG